ACTAGATGATCTTTCGAGGTCCCTTCCATTCCCTGACATTCTGTGATTCTGTGACTCTGTCTGTGTACTGATGCAAACGTGGTGCACAAGGTTACAAAGAGACTTTTCACATCCCGAAGCCAAGGCACTCAGGACTTCTTTAAGACTTAGGATGGAAAAAATAAAAGGTTGCTCAGAGGTTGGGATATATCTGGAACTCACCCTGCAGACAAGTTTCCTCTCCTGAATGTCATTTTCATTTGAATAGTCTGGACTATCCTCACCTCCAACCAACCTGTCGTCGATCTCTCCACTCACTCGAACAACCTCAACGTGGAGACGACCTGATACCTGAGGAGAAAGGATTACGAATTACTTGTGTGCCAGGAAACAGTGACAGGTTCATCCCTTGTCAGGTAACTACAACTACTGCTGTTGCCAGCCTGTAAGCAGACAACATTTTATTCCTTTCTGTTGTTTTGCATTTGTTGCACCAGACGAAGGACACTCTGGAGCAAGAATTGAAGAGCCTCTGTTGTAAAATCATAAAGAAATCAGCCTGGAGTGATTTGAGGAACGGCATACTGCAGTCTCACCTTCACACCAGTCTCTAAGGACTCTGCAAAGCTCATGTGTGACACAGAGGACAGAGAATGGTGCCTGGTAGGCTGTAGCTGTCTTTCAAGTTGTTCTTCCAGCATATATTTAAGAGCCTGTTCCTGATGGCTACAGCTCACACCCATTCTGCTGAGTATTTATTTTGAGTTGCTTCGTACAGAAAGGTGCTCGTAAAGCCTTCTCCTTTCACAATCACTGTGCTGGAATTCAGAGCTTTCTGAACAACTCTAGAAAATATCTACTGGCAGCAAGATCCACGGGCTGCAGTTAAACAGTTGAGTAAGAAAAGATTACAGATCAACAAACCTCTCCCTTCTGATTGATGATTGGAACAGCGTATTGTAGCTTCACATCATAGAAGAGGCACTCAAGAAAAACATTGGCTACTCCTATAAGGCTGTGGTTTTCCTGCTCGTCGTAGAATGGGTCAGCTCGCCTGAAGTAAGCTCTCATCACCTTCAGTCAAAGACATAATAATGTAAGAAAAACAAACTTTCCACGAAGCAGTTTTTCGTGTTGCACCGTCACTCTAGTGAAAGAAAAACGGACTCGAGCAAGAGGCCAGATTAGATCGCAAGAAGAATGGAAGCTTGAATTTTACTCTGGACTGAGTACAAGGCCTGTCCTCAGTACGTTCTCCTTAACATTGTCAGATCCAGAGAAGTCAGCGTGAACAGTAACTGCTGTTGTGTTTCTTACTGCTTCTTATTGTATGCTCAGTGCCGTCCCCAAACTATGCACGTAAACAAGCATCAAAGTGACAAGATAAGGGTTAACGAATTGCTGGAGACTGCTTCAACACCAGGAAAAGCAAAAGCTCAGGAAAACTTATCTCTTTACATGTTCCCTTCCTCCCTCGACCTCCCTTCCTGAACCAAAAGATTTTCTCACATCCACTTAAAAAAAATAACAAGGATGTAATACTATCAGCACAATACTGGAGTAATTTTTACTTACTGGGTTGTCTTCCTCACAGTCTTTCCACTCCTGGTAAAGATCCCTCATGTCTACCAATCGATTCTCCAGCTTTTCCAGTGACCAGATCTGTTTGCCTTTCCCTTTCCTCCTCACTTGAATAGCAGGCTCACTGAGAATCGCGCCTCTCTGTGAAGTAAATAAAGAGATACCAATTAGGAATTCATATCAGAATGACGAAAAGATAGTTTAAACCCAATACAAGACTGAGAACATCTTTGGGAAGAGTCTGGATTTTGTTCCGGCTTGAGCAACCAAAGTCAAGCGTGACAGACTCTGAGTTCGGCTGTCACAGTACATTCGTGTTCAGTTTAACTGCGAAGTCTAATCACAGCTACGGGCACTAGTTTCCATGGATTTTCATCTTACATAAGTGTTAGAAATAGGAACATTTAAGCATTTCACAAATATCCTCGAGTTACAGGAGGCCTGGAGTTCCAGCTAAGTTTACTACTACCCGCAACTTCCAACTAGTGTAGACACTTAACCCACTTTACCATCCTCTTTCTAGATGGGCCAGAATACTGCAGGAAAAACAAGCGGAGGAGAGAAACTTCCAAAGCAACTGGTCAAAGTTCTGATCTTGAACAGCCAGAGGTTCATCAAAATGTTGAGCTGACCTCAAGAACACAACTAATACCAGCTTAGGTAGCCAGCCTGAGAAACAGAAGTCTGGGTTCAGTTCCCTCCTTCCAAAATTTCTACGATGCTTGGAAAAAATAGTCCAAATCCCCTTTGCTCCACCTCCTCCCTGCCCAATGGGGACGACAGCATTTTCTCAGCTCACTAGGACGTGGAAAGCCAAATGGTGATGGCAAATACCTGATGTTACCTAACCTAAGCAGATTTTATCGCTCCACAACAGAATACAACAAATACCAATGCTGAAAGGCAAAACTTACCGGACGATTTCGTTCCATTAGTGCTACCTTACCTTACTGTTAGCATTAAGGCTTGAAGATGGGATCTGGAGGGTAACTTTATACTCTGTCCTCTTATCCAATTCCTCTCCAATAAAATTGGCTTCTCTCACATACAAGTTGGCTTTAACGATCTGCTCTCGCAGCTTTCTCAGGCTGTGGGTCAACATTTCTTCTCTACAAAGAAGGGGATTTGGAGAGGGAGACAGGAAAAATCACGGCATTCAAGGACTGAATGGAACATGGGAAAGATCATCTAGAGTCTGAAAAAAATAGCCTCAGTGCAATTGCCTAGGAAGACACAAAGAAGACATGGACTCCTCTGTGATAATTAAACACTTTTTGTAACGCTCTGGATCAAAATTCTTTGTATCCTCCTTTTCTTTCTGCACTCTTCTGGCTGCCAGAACCTGCCCAGGTCAGACAGATGGACGTGAGTTAAGGAAAAAACAACATTCCAGCAGCTGAGTCATGAACAAGCTCATATAGGAGTCCCAAAATATCTTCCAATCACCTCATCTTCAGTCAAATCTGTTGCCGATCAGGACAAAGTTTCTCCCTAACAGCAAAGCAGGCACTCATCCTTTTTCACCTTTTCTAGCATCATCATCATCATCATGGAATGGCCTAGGTTGGAAGGGACATTAGACATCATTTAATCCAACCTCTCTGTCATGGACAGAGATGCCAGGCAACACACGGGGACCGAGTGGGAATCGAACCCTATAGGTCTGATTGGTTTTAGACCGGTATTTTCACCGTGTCCTCGCCAACCCGCCACAGAAGTCCCATCAGAAATGTGGCAGAGGCGCACAACGTAATTAAAATCTTGCAAAATTGCTGAGACACTGGCACGGGTTGCCCAGAGAAGTTGTGGATGCCTCATCCCTGGAATTGTTCAAGATCAGGCTGGATGATCAACTTGGTCTAGTGGGAGGTGTCCCTGCCCAGGGCAGGGGGGTTGGAACTAGGTGATCTTAAAGGTCTCTTCCAATTCAAACCATTCCATGGTTCTCTGACTCACTAGCACTGAAGAACTTTAAAGGAACACTCCTGATGGTCAGATTTGATTACTCACCTCTCCTCTGCCCACTGCCGTAAGCGCTGCTGAGCGCTGGGAGAATGAAAGGAGAACCTGTCCATGCTGCGGAAATGCTGCTTCTCGGGCGACAAGCGCCTTCGTAATTGCTCCAGTTCGTGTTCGTACATCAGTCTCTGTCGTTCCAGCGCAGATCTCTTCTCCTCTTCGTGTTGCTGCTCCAGGCTTTGCAAGATGGACTGCATGGGATCTAAGCAGATGTGGAAAATAAAGAAGCTAGTACTTCTGGGGGTCAAATACCCGGTAGCCATAAAATTAAATGGAAACAGTCATGTAATGAGTACAAGGCAGAAACAGGGGACTTGGGAATACGAGAGCTTTCCCATGTTCTGCTACAGATACGCAGTGTGACCTTGGGCAAGGCAGGAATTTCTGTGATTTGCTACCTCCCTTCTGTGATTTTGGTACCTCCCTTCCTTCTGCAGTTGTGCACATTAGGGTCTACAGTAGCCACTGACATCCAGAGTGAGGAACATCCTAGACAGTAAACATAGTTGCTTTTATATAAAGGAGGAAGAGATTATATTTTTGTTGCAATGAGCCGCAAAAAAACGTGCTGCTGAACTGTGGAGCAAAATAACTGTCTACAGAGCAGTCTGAATGGATAATTTAAGAGAGCTGAGAAAAGGGAGAAACCAAGCTGAAAAATACTTCCTCCTGTTTCCCAAAACAATGTCATTCTGGAACAGCTACATAAGACCACAAAAACTCAAGAACATGGTTTCGTGGACACAAATCACTACAGTTTACGCCTGAGTGAGACATAGCATACGGAAAATAACCCAACAAAGTGAAACCACTTTGATTTGAGGCTGCAGTTCCACAAATATTCCAGTTTTGGCTTTTCCCTCAGTAAGAACTGCCAAACCAACCAGTCTGCGATGTTTCCTCCCCAAGTGCAGAAATGGTTATTCACAAGCAACATTATCCAGCAGGAAGTCACAAGTGAAGAAGTCTGTGGTTAAGAGTCCCTCAAGATGTAACCTCATATAACCTACTTATTTCCAATAATTTCTGTTGCTTCTTACCATTACTGCTGAGTGCCTTCATCGTGACTTCCATCTGGGCATATTCATAGCTGAAGTTAATCTCACTAGACACTTCACTGGAATTGTCTCCATCTATGTCCAGCTGCTCAACGCTGTTACTGCACTTCATAGAGTTGTCTCGCTCTTCATCCTCATGATCTGCCTTCTTCTTCTTCTTTGGCAAGTTCAGCCTTTAAACAGGAGGGAAATTTAGAAGGACTACTACCTGCTCAACTCTGAAAGAAGGGGCTGCTTTCCAAGATTATTAAAATTATGGAGATCATCCATATCAGTAGATTTTTCCCTTTCAAAATTTGTTCATCTCCTGGGAGTGTAGTTTTCCTCATGGTAAACAGGGAAGTTCTAGGCAAACTAACTAATTCATTCTACACTCCAATAATAGAGGATACCTGATACTACTAATCATATAGTTTAGATAACCATTATTTTTTCAGCTATTCCATATCCAAATAATTTAGAGGCAATATTATTATTTTCCACTTTTTATACAGATTCTTCTTCGAAGCATAAAAGAAAACGAGTAAGTTTTAGATTGTTATTTACATCCACCCATCTTTCAGGCATTTCACAGCAGCCACAGAGGGTTTCAAGAATAGAGTCCTTCACAGAAAACTACACAGGAAGGTCAGAGGTACGGCTGGAGCTGGAACTCTGGGGAACAGGGAACACAGTGACCATGTAAGACACAGACCACTATATAATATAGGTGAAAAATCTAACACCTTAACTGCAAAATCCAAAAGGCAACCTATCCAAGCCAAAGCTTGCATGTAGTATTTTCACTATGGAAGAGAGAGCATTTACTATTACATGGCACCAAACCACATGAAAGTTACCAGCTCAAAAAAAGATAAATCTCTTCAGTGAGATAACAGTACTGGAAACTACAGCAAGGTCCTCATCGGCAAGGTTGGAGTCCCTTGAAAATACAAGAAGTTAAGTCCAACTAGTGCTCTGAAATTAAAATCACGCACAGCTGCTATAATGTTTCGCTTTCAGGAATAGTCATCGGCATTGCCTTTATCATCCCAACAAACAAGAAATCACCTGCTCCTGCAGCTTCAAGGCTCCACTGACATCTTTCCTCACACGTTAAGAGAAAACAAAGCTGGTGCAAACTTGCAATTTATTCACTACATTTTGTACCTGAAGAAGTGGTTGTTTCCCCACAGTATTCTGTCTCCGTGATGTAGCTGGATAGGACACACGACGGCAGAACCATTTACAAACGTCCTGTGAAAAGGCAAAAATTTAAAGCAAACGCATCTATACAAGGCTCATTTTTTCCCTCCACTACTACTACTCTCTTTCTTGCAGCTAGTTGAGGCAGGAGAACAGGTTTCTGGATTGCCAACAGGCAAAACATCCCCAGAAACTTCACTTATCTACCCTGTGCTGTTTCCCAAATTCCTCAAACCCGACTTCTTTTGATTGCTGAAGCTTATAGAGTTCTGTACTTTTGGACAGATATTATGGCAGCAATGTCCGGGGAGTATAGAGCTTAAAAATGAAGGTCTCAAAACAAAAGGATGCTGTTGCGGAAATAAACACTTTTCACGCTGCTTTGAAACACAGACACAAAATGGAAACATTTGAATAAGGCATCAGAGTCCTTTGCTGTATAAATAGCTTAACGACAATAAACTAATTAGAACAATCAAACTCCTTTTATTTCAGAGTCAGATTAAGTCTGAAAATACGATAAGTCAAATTTGAAGGGAAATCTCATGACGTCATGCAGTCCAATCTCCCGCTCGAAGCAAGATCAACTACGAACCAGGGGAAATGTGAAATTGTTGAATTCTGCATATCTGACAATAAATTATTGGAAATGCTGACCACACACGTCATTTCGTGATGCATTTGAATACACCATCTGCTTTTCAAGTGCTGCTGCTTAATCAAATAAAGCAACAAATGCTTCAGCAGCTCTCTGCATAGCAACGGATTTCCTAGAAAATTAATTCGAATTTTGATAGAGGGACATCTACACAGCTGCAAATCAGTGAGCATCTACTTGCTGAAAGCGTATTCGATTTACTCATCCTCTCTTTGAAAACTTTGACTACAAACACCATCACTGAGAGAAATCTCATTAGAACGAAAGACAGGAGTTGACAGAGGGGTAGATGACAATGAAAATGTAAAAGCAGGCTACAAGAAGCAGAATTTTCGTACTGCAGAACAGTAAAGGTTTACTTTCAATTATCTTTTTGCATCACCAATCCTAAAATACTAGCTAAAACTACAATCATTACACAACTGGCATTAGGTTTTATTCCTTTACCTAGTATTTTTTTGAGGCGTTAACATAACCTGTCCTTCTGGAGTGATGTCTATGATGCAATGTTCAGGAAGAATTCCCATCCCGCACAGCTGGATATCTTGAGAGTTGTCTGAGCCTATTAACGTGTGCTCCTGGGGAAAATTAATTCAGATGTTAGCAACGGACTGCGAAAGTTCACTGGTTCTAACTCATCCATTCTCCTTCCGGATATATCTTGTCATCTAGGTTGAAAATTCAAAAGCTGCTCAATACTGCCCTTAGAGGAAAAAAAAAAGAGGATGAGGCATCACAAGTAAATCCTCGCTTCATCCTACCGTAACAAGTAGAGAACATTTAGAGGAGTTTACAGGCAACAGCTAAATCCGAAGCTGAGGAGGTTGCTATAATTTAATCGTGGAATTTAATGCCTCAGGATGTTGTAGAAGCCAAAAAGTATAAAGGAGTTCAAAGAGGAATTAAGCCAGGTTCACAGCGGTTAGATCCGTGGCTCTTCCGCGGGTTCCATCTAGATCATCCAACAGCTTACGAAATTCCCGAAGTTCTCGAGGCATGAGGGATTTGCCAGACAGAGGATCACTCCACACACGCCCCAATTCACCCATTTCTGGGTTTTATGCACCTCTACGAGATTTTTGAAGCACAGATTCAATAGTTTAGATAAATCAGATCGAGTTGCTCTTCAGTACTTTAAAGATCTAGCACGTATGCAGCTCAGCACTCAAGGGAACGTGGGCAAGATATTTAATCTGAGAAGCAAGAGAGTTTAATCTCAGGATTTTAGGCAAAACAGGTGTCTCAGGATTTTAGGCAAAACAGGTCTAAGTCATTTTATTGAGAGGATTTCAAAGCACAAGGACTCCCACCAAAATTCTCAACCAACGAAGCAAATTTGTGTCACTGAAAGAAAATAATAACTAAAGACTAATTGAAAACCACAACCTACAACGCATCTGGAAAGGATTAAATTCTTCTCCCAAGACCTCAGCTCGGTTCTTTTGTCCTTTTAAATGTTTTCTGGCAGATACATCACTGAAAAAGTTCTTTCCCTTGCTTTCACTGTCATATCGCAGAGCAGCGATGAATGACATCACAGGAGCGTATTTCCTAAGACCGACTGAACCAAAACCCCTTTTCAGCCCAACTGCTGATTTTGTGGCTGTTTTGAGAGTTACCACAGATCATTTCCAAAAGAAGAGGGGGATCTAACATGAAGCTCAAACTGCTGACGACCTTGCGCTGCTGCATTTCTGGAAGCTGCACTCTGAAACGTGACTTTAAAAAGCTCATTTCTCCTCCTGGCTCCAGATCACGTCACAAATTTGTTAAACTCAAATAAACTGCGCAAATGTGTCAGCGCAGAGTCCAACAGTCACATCACATGCTCTATGTTTAACACTGGCAGCAGAAGTGCTAGGGCAGCGCGGAATTTCATGCAAGTTGCATGAAGAGGAATAAAAATGCGTTTTATAAACCGAAGACGGCAGTCAGAATTTGGGCTACACACGTAGAAGCCAGTTGATTACTGACAGGCCTTTAGACAGAACAATTTACTGGGTAAAACCTTGCGAAAGTTGCGGTAAAAAAACCAAATCGAGCACAAAAAAAAACCCCTCATCCTCAAAATAGAAGAGAGGGTCTCAAAAAGAACGTTTCTAAGTTTCTTTCTAAAACCAAAACAAATTCAAATTGAAATATAAAGGTTGTACTCATTTTAATAAAGCAGTGAATACTAGAGAATCCTTTAGATAGGCAATTTTTGTAAAATTTTCTAAGCACACTGCTGACAACGCTAGTAGACGCCCATTTGAAAAAAAACCCCTTAAAAATTAGAATTATATCAGGATTTATTTTTACCTTTAAATAGTATACCAGAAGTTCATTGAGAGCTGGATCTGCGTTCAGGTTAACCAGGAAACACTTGTTATCCCCAACTTTTATTCCGGAAGACTGAAGAGATATGCCAAGGCTTTCCAACTGTTTCTGACGCTCCTGCAAGAGAGCAGCCATCAAAAAATTCAGCGGATTCATGCACGGCCCTTCAGAAAGGCAGTCCCGTCTGCCAAAGCCGCGAGACGAAACGACGGGCCACTACTTGGCAAAAAGGTCGCTCTTTTCTTCCGCAGTGGATTAAGCACGGAAGCTTGAGCTGTATCAGGCTGTGATCAGGATATTTGTAATTTCTCTTGTCCTTCTGCTCTCGGTGCCGGGGTCTCACTCAGCCGCATCTTCCCAGTGAAAAGCGCGATGAGCGCGCTGCGGGGCTGTAGGAGCTTCGCCATGACCTCACTGGAATGGCAAAACGCTGCCACAGAAACATCTCTAGAACCCTTTATTTCTTCTCTTTCGATCTAAAAAGCAACAAGTTAAGTTCAATCCCTGCCAAGTCAAGCTCCATGTCTATCTTTTATTCCGGAGCAATCGAAATGACCACGAGAAACTGGCAACCTGCTATTTAAGTGATGCAAATGACAAAAAAAACAAGAATAGCAGCATTTTGGATGGTGTTTTGTTCTTGTCAATGGACTTCATAGAATTCACCAACAAAGCATTACTGTGCAAAAATGTGCATCTTTCAAAGGGAAGTGTTTGGCTGAAGGCTAGGCCAGTGAAAGAGGAACATTAAACATTTCTGAGTTAAGAACAGAAAGGGATTCTTCTATAAAAACCACCGAGAGAGAAATGCTGAGGATCGTTCCCAGGATGATACAGAAACCGAAACGAGACTCACTATCCGCGACTGCAAACAAAATTGAAAAAATAAACATGGGAAGCCTCTCACAGAATTACTCGGGGGAAGCAGAAACAGGGGAGGGTAGAACAAGTAACTAAAAAAAAATACAAGAGGCCTACAGTGCTTTCCCTGCGATGCTAAAACTTTTAAATCCCATAAAAATTAGCAGAGATCACACAGAAGTAACACTGGAATGTTTATTAAGGTTCTGACCTTACCTACCAGTTTGCTTTGTATTTAAAACCTCTGTACATCCTACTATTCTGTAGAATTCCCTCATCACCACTGGAGTTGTACCAGCTCTCATCGACATTAAAACAGCAAAGAACAGCACACACAACCCACTCCTGATTTTCTCTACCCTGTCTCCCCACACGCTTGGAAATCCAACATAACGTCCTCGTAAAGGAGAAGTCCTGCGTGTGTGCAAGCCACAAAAAACCCAAAACATCACAGAGAACAGAGGAGAAACTGGAGTATGATGTCAAAGATCTCTCTCCTGATCATCGGTGCCAGGCGCTGAAGTTCACATAATTCCTTTTTATCCATAAAGAATGTGCTGCCCAAAGGAGGACTTAAATCTCAGAGCACAAACTCACTGAAAATGAGCCAATTTCTGTTACCTTCTACTCGAGACCTAATGTTATTTGACTTAAACATTTGAAAGACGTTAAAAGCGTGTCAAACACTCACTGAAAATGTGAATAATTGCCTAGTCACAGTCTTTAGAGCTTCGAACACTTCTGGACGCTCCATCTCTACAAATTTCCTCTTCAATGGCTCTCTTTACGAGGAATCATCCTTTCCTCAAAGATTTACAATTATCTCTCCATCCTACCTGATCACCCTGATACAATTTGACAGACAGATGTTGGTGGATGCTGGCCAAAATCAAAATCACTTGACAAGCCACGACACAAATGCCTTTAACCTTGGCCCTCGTAAGCCTCCTGGAGATGTCCAGAAGGTTCTTCCCACTGGCTTTAAGGTGCTCCTGAAACAGTTTTATACCGCAAAAACACCAGACCTTACCCCTCCTCTGAAAAAAAAAAATCACTTTTTCTACAGCTGCAAAGGTTATGAAACTCCCAGCTCGAAACATCGGAACACACTGAGGATTTAGAAACAGGACGAGAGCGAAAGCAGCAGCTACGTGCAAACATCAAGGTAGACTGAGTCTGTAACGTTGAGCCCATTACTCCAGTTTTTCAACTTCCTCGCGCACTCAGGGCTTCTATGCTGAGAAACTATTGTGTAGGATGAGAACAGAAGTTTTTATCATTATTATTCACCCTGATACACAGAGAGGAAAATCCAAATCTGCACAGAAAGCCAGGAAGCCCGCGTAGTCACAAGCTGGATTTCTGACAATGGATCTGTAAAACTCAAGTCACCACAGTCTGTTCCGATTGTGTCATCTACACGAGGGCTTTGCACCAGAGGCTCCGTTTTCTCCTTATTTATTACACGCTATTCATTGCCCTTGAATAGACGGCCCCGAAAACCTCCCTGCTGCAAACACACACATCAGCATTTGTGTGGCAAGAATTGGAAGTGTCATGCAACAGTCATGGTGACCTCCGTAATTTTTCAATGTAATCCGCATTCAATTATGATCTGAGGCCCTAAATATCACTGTAAGAGGTAGGAGAACATGCAGGGACGCTGAACAATTTTATTTTTTCACATTCTGAGTGCCCTTTGCCTCGCGCATGGAGGCCCTCAGTACATAACCTGGCGTTTAAAGCTCCGTCTTCCATCACAAACAACAATTTTACTGTCTGAAGAATACAAAATCCTTGTAATCCTCTCATCCATGGATTATTATTTTTTTAAATAACTTCTCCATTTGCATACAGTGACAATTTATTACTGTCACTGGAACAGCAATCTGGGAGGCACCCAGCTATCACAGGAATTAAGTGAAGCTTTTCAAAAGGGCAGTGAGCTTGACCTACTTACCCATAAATGTGGGGAGAGATTCAGACAATGTCTATGAACTCACAGACAAAGGAAACAAACCTATTTTTCCTTAAAAAAAGGAGAGGGAAAAGGAGAGGGAGGAAGAAACAGCAAACCTGTGCTATCTCCTCAGTTTTTCTTAATTTTTCTTCCCAGGTCACAGTCATTTCCTGAATCAACTTTTCTGACTCCTCCAATCGTTCTTTCAATTCGGGTGATTTCATAGCCTGCAGAAATAAAAGCAAATAAAACAGGAAAGCTCATTGTCCTTCACTTATTTCACATCTCTGTCACACAGATGGGGAAAAAAATGAAACATAACTACTCCTTTTCCAAGGCATGCTTCCCACAGCAGTAAGCCAAGGGTTTTTGTAAACACATATTCCACATAAATGTAGTATCCATCAGAAAGTTTATTAGTTCCAAGTTCCCTCAGAATGGCACTTAACATCTCAGCCACTTAAGCTGCCACGCGTCCAAAATATTTTTATTGTGCATTTTGCTATGGCCTGATGGGTGTGATTTTTTTCTTTCTACAGGAAGTATCAAGGCATCTGAAGTGTTCTGCTCATTTTACAGACTGAATATCTAAAGAAGCCTTACGATGTGTTTTTGGACACGGAACTAAACTTTCTCGCTAATCCATCACAGCTCTAATTTTGTTTCGAGAAATAGTTCAAGGCCCATGTTCCATCCAAGGACTAAGCTGAGAATAAGAAGATACCCCCTCCCCGCCACGCATCAAACGCTCCAAAACAAAGGACAATAAGATTTTTAGACGACATAAATTTATTTCCTCTGGTCTTGGTACTGGTATATTCCTCTGCTACCTTGAACAGGCAGCCTGTGGACTTCCTCACATCGTTATTTCATTACTGCTGACAAGATGACAATGGATTTGGCTGCTAGGTATTTATGCAATGCCAATTCCACGTCGCAAGCGTCGTTCTCCATCGCGTGTTTCTTTACCACAAACCCCAAAAGTCCTCACAGGAATCCAAATCAAACAGCAGCCTCATTACACTGCAGTTTGTTCAAGAAAAGGAGCAAGTGCCAGGAGTGGAAAGTTCTGTTTTAAGACAGGAGTTGCCTCTGCAGCAACAGTCAAGAGTTGAGGAACTGTCAGCTGATGCGTCCCATAGACTTTTTCTAACTGAAAATCTCAAATATCTCAATACAGAGTAAAAGGGAATATGAATTCCACACAGGAAGGAAAACGAAGCCAAGGCAACACCCAGAATAAAGATTTATTGTGACTGATAAAACATGATCTGTGCAATGGTGCTGGATGCTACAGAGCAGACTGAGAAGATGAAGCCCAGTAACTCTCAAAATCTTCTTTGAGCATTTATTTGGACCTGGGGCAAAATTACTCAACCTTTTTACATGTTTCAACTGTAAAATGAGCTAGGTAATTCTTCTTACTCCCTCCAACGCTTATAAAAAAAAGATATATGGGCCCAGATTCACAGCAGACCAGCAGCTGTGCTCTCTGCTGAAAGCAGTTACTTTAAATTCAGAGAATCGTAGAACAATTTGGGTTGGAAGGGACCTTTAAAGGCCATCTAGTCCAAATCCCCTGCAGTGAGCAGGATATCTTTAACCAGATCAGGATGTCCAAAGCCCCATCCAACAGGTCATGCTCAGATTTTCATCCCCCATGTCCTTCTCCACAGGGCTGCTCTCAATCCACTCGTCCCCCAGCCTGTACTGGGACTGTGGATAGAAAGGAACCAGGCGAAGGACTTTGCACTTGGTCTTGCTGAGTGTCATGAGATCTGCACAGGCTCAACTCTCCGGCTTGTCCAGGTCCCTCTAGATGACATCTAGGTGACATTCTATCCCTCTAGAGTGTCCATCGCACCACATAGATCCGTTTCATCCACAAACCTGCTGAGGGTGCACTCGATCCCACTGTCTGTGTCACTGGTGAAGATATAATAGCGTTTCTCCCGGAATGAACTCCTGAGGGACACCACTCGTTTCCACTTGAACATTAAGCCATGGGCTGTAACTCTTCTTTTAACTTCTTTGTTAACCCTCCCTCTCCCCGTGAAGAGCTGGCAAAGCTGTTGGGGGTGGGACAGAACACTGGGAGCCCCCACATTCCCTCCCAGGCAACACTCAACAGAATCAGCCAGGCCTGCGGCCACCAAACCCAGCTGAGGAGCCACTGAGCACTGAGCACAGCTGACCTTGGTACCGTCAGTCCCGTGGCACCCATCGTGTGGCCTCTGAGTCGCCCTGAGCACCAGGCTACTGCAGCCAGGCCTTTTCCCCAAAACCTCCTATGAGGCCAGAGGTAAGGACTGATCCTGGGAGCCAGCGGGGGTTCTGGGGTGACCTAACAGCGGCCTTCCAGTCCATGGAGGGGCTACGGGGAAGCTGGAGAAGGGCTTTTTACAAGGGCCTGCAGGGACAGGACAAGGGGCAACAGCCTGAAACTGCAAGAGGGGAGATTTAGATCAGATCTAAGGAAGAAATTCTTCCCCGTGAGAGTGCTGAAGCACTGGCACAGGTTGCCCGAGGAGGCTGTGGATGCCCCACCCCTGGAAGGGATCAAGGCCAGGTTGGACGGGGGTTGGGGGAACCCGGTCTGGGGGAAAAAGGGAGGTGCCCCTGCCGACAGCAGGGGGTTGAAATGAGATGAGCTTCAAGGTCCCTTCCAATCTGAACCATCCTATGATTCCACGACTTTAATAAACTCTTCCAAGGCCCCTAGCAACACGCTCAGTGCAGACTCTCGATAATTTCACAGCCCTTCCTCCTCCTTTTCCATCCCTTCGTGAGCCCTCCTGCCCCAGCTTGGGCTGTGACCAACAGCGTTTGCTCATCTCTTGGGATCAAGCAACCTCTGCCAACAGCGCTGCCGGCCGCCCTTCCCCGCACCC